AAAAAAGACAAACTAAATAAGTTTAATTTCGTTTTATATTAGAATTTGACAACTTTTTACATACTTCATTGTTTTTACTAAGCTGAAGTTAATCTAGAATTTCCATAATGATAATCCTATATAAGATTGATTTTAGCAATTGGCGATCGATGACACCCCCAAGCCCTACCCCCACCCAAAAACTGATCATAGTTAAGCAATAAATATGAAGTAAAGATTAATAAAACTGAATTCGATTACTATGAAAAAGCTAATTTGAGCATTGTTTTCATTTGGGTCAAGTGGTGCTCTAAATACATAATTAATCTCCGGGTACAGCAGCAGCAACCGCTGTACAGCGACCGCGTGAAAAGAGCCCAAAGTAAGTAGTACAACAAGTAAAATACAAAATTGATATGGTTCGCATTTCGCATTTCGCGTATCTGCGAATGGGCATGTATCTGTGAGAGGCACAGGCTGCTGGTTAAGGGTTGCAAGCACGCACGCGAAACTGATAGAGATAGAGCTAGAGAGAGGGACAGAGAGAGAGAGAGAGAGAGAGCAGGTGAGTAAGAGAGAAAGACTGCCACGACATATCTTCTAAGCCAGGGCGCATCAGCACCCAAAAATCGGGTCTCTGCACTTGAAGGGAGCTGCAGCAGCAGGCGTAGGGGCCATATTCCTTCAACTACCTAAAGCTTATGCGCTCTCTCTCTCTCTCTCTCTCTCTTGCTCCTTCTCTTTCTTTCCAGCGCGCTCTCCCTCTCTCAAGCCATCTCGCCTGTGGATGCTGTGCGCTGCCCCTGATTTTCGCTGCAGTTTTGTGGATGCTGTTCAGCTAGGGAGCTGCGTCCTATGTATAGGCTCATATATATAGCAACTGATTACCCGGGACTTGAACCACGCCCTGGCCAACAGAGCTGGCCGAAAACTAGGTTAGCACTGCTGCTCGTCCCTTCCATACTTATATTTATTTACCTAATACCATTTTCCTGCTACTTCTCTTCTTTTCTATTTTTCTATTTTTCTGTTTTTTTTTTTTTTTGTGACTTTTCACTGCATTACAAATACAATGACTGCCCGGGGCGGCTTTTGCTGGACAGGACGAGCCCCTCCTCTGCTGCCTCCTCCCTCTCCCCGGGATTGTTTAATTCAATTAACGTTTTATTTGGGGTACGTCAACACACGCAGTTGCCTGCAGCTTGACCAATGCACATGCCCCGCCTCCCCCTCCCACTCCTACGCCCCCTTTCTGTTCACACACAGGCCAACACCTACGCCCACACCCATGTGGGTCGCCACCTCCCCCTCCTCCCCCACGCAGGGCAACATTAATTGTGGGCGCGCCTACTTGCAATTAGATACAAAAGTAAAGTTTACACAAAATGCACCCTGTTTGGCGGCAAACTTAAGCCACGAGGTGAATGTCCTTTGCCCGATTTTTGGCGCATGCGCCCCACAAATTCCAGACACATCCCGTGCCACAGTCAGAGCCGCATTCAGCACAGCCACATCTAGAGCGACAGCCACAGCCACTGCCAAAGACCCAGCGAGCGAGTAGGCGCAGCAGCAGCAGCAACAGCAGCAGCAGCAGCTGGCCCGCTCCGGCTCTCATGTCCTTGCTCTGTCGCACCTCCACGGCACTCTTTACCTGTATGAGTGTGCGTGTGTGTGTGTGTGCGCACATTTGTATGTACTTAAATCCGTGCATAAGGAGACGCATAGGCACGCACAAACAGAAGCCTTTTATGGTCCATAATCTTGGCAGTCGAGTGTGTCAACACGACAATACACAGGTCCTTGCTACAGGCATCTGAGGCGCACACCCAAAAGTGGGCGTACCGCAGCGCCCACTCAAGAGAAACGGACTCTACCCGTATGCTCAATCAGCCGCATGCACACAGTCAGAAGACTTGCAAAACCTCGAGCGTTGCTAAATTCTAGGGCCTATTAAAATCTGATTTTTTTTTCTATTTGTAATTTGTAAATACCTATACACCTATATATGTGCGTACATCTTGATGTATGGTATATTTGTATGTCGTGAGCGGCTATCAGACGTCAATAACTCGAATAGCCTTCACTAACCCACTGATTGTTGGAGTGACTGATTGAGTGATTGAATGATTCGTTATCTGATACAATTTTAGGTTATTCATTCGATTGTTTGATAGACGCTCTGACTGATTGACGACTGTTTGAGGTATGCCTTAACTCATTGATTGACTAACACTGATTGATTCACTGGCTGGCTAGCTGAATGATTGACTGATTGATTCACTCTCTAATTAATAGATTGACTGATTGACTGACTCTCTGTCTGACAGTTTTACCGATTGACGGCTTGCTTGACTCTCTAGGGATTGATTGATTTGTAAGCTATCTGAATGATTGTTGTATTATATAAATTAGTTACTGATGACTGAGTGACTGTCTGATTGACTTCTGATGATGCGATTGACTGATTGATTGATTGCTGACTGACTGGTTGTCAATAGTTTGATGTATTCGCTATCTCATTGATTGACTGAATGATAGATTGATTGATTGAATCATTTACTCTCTGTCTAATTGATTGATTTACAATGAAAATGACTGACGTTTTACTTATTGAGAGATTAAGTGACAAACCTACTGATTCCTGATTATCTGAATAATTGATATTCTCTCTAACTGACTGTCGATTGATTGACAGACTTCATTGACTATCTGTATTAATTGATAAATTTATCGAATAATAGATATGGATAGATATATTACATTTTTCACTGATATTTTAATTTATTGTCTGATTGGTAGGCTGGGGGACTGGGTAAATGTCTGACTCCTGTTGGACAGCCTAACGGCCAGTATGCATATTAAATTTTAGGACTACAATTTCCTTGACTTGCCCATTTAGCTTGTATTAAATTGAGTGACTGATTGATTGATTGATATGCGGATTGATCAAGTATCTGATCGAGTATTCAAATGAAAGACTTGACTTAAATGAATTCTTAGAAATTTTCTAATATTGACAAGTTGTAAATGAAATATTTAATATGAATATTCTAAGACCGAAAACAAAAGAAATGTCTTCAGAATTTACATTCCAAACGAACTCGCTTAAATGTGGCACAGCAATACGTGATTGGCATTTATACTTGTCTCCATAGGCCAGATGCATGTATGGAGCAGGAATGTGTGGAGCAATGCAGTCAATAAGGAATTTTCGGCTACGGTAACCCACAAAGGCGAGCATTAGTTGGTTAATTATGCAATCTGTCGCATTCGTCGGCAGCGCTGGCTGAGGCTCACGTGCTACTGCTCCAGACCGTCGCCAGTGTTCAGTTTCGGCTCAGTCAATCATCGTCTTGTTTTTATATCCATTCCATTTTGTCTGCCGCTTCGTAGCGTAGCGAATGTCGTGTGCAGCAGAGACAGCGTGACTACGACGACAAAGGCAGCAGCCAGCAGCAGCCAGCGGCAACGGCACCAGCAACATATGCGAATATCGTAAATGCTTACGATATACACACTGAAAGCGTCATGTAACGCCGACAGCAACTGAACTGTGCTGCCGCTGTCGCTGTCGCTGTGGCTGTGGCTGTTGCTGCGACGCATATTGGACGAACCGTGTGAACGGCGGGCCGCAACGCGACGCCGCTGTCGGCGCGGGCAGAGCGCTTTTTCGTTGTTTGGTCTCGTGTGCGTTCTACGTTTTGAGTTGTTAGTTGCGTTCGAACTCAGTCATAAACGAACTGTTACGAGTGATGGAAGAGTCAATACGCTGCCTGCAAGCAACAAACCAACGCAAGCAACAAATACACCAATAACAACCACAGCAACAACAGCAACAACAACAATAATAGCAACTTATTCAAAAGGCAATCGGAAACTGTTTTAGAATCGAGCCAAGTCTTAGTTCAATTCGCTTGACTAGTCATTCACCTGGTATTCACTTGAATACCTGTACTAATTGTTGCTATTGTCGTTTGTGTTGTTGTTGGCGCCGTAGACAATATTGTCACTGTCGTTGCTGTTGTTGTTATGATTTGTTGTTGCTGCACTTAAACAGCGAGCATTCATCTTTTTTTTACTTTTTTTTTGCCGTTCTAATTGTGCTTCGTTTTTTTTTTTTTTTCAATCCAAGCAGTGCTAAAAAATTAAACTAAACTATATATATATTTTTTTTTGTAAAAGTTGATAGCTTTTGATACCAACAGCAACAATAAAATCAAACTAACCAAATACAAGTGAAAGGCAACATCGTCCCTTTAGTGTTCATCTGTGTCTGTGTGTGTGTGTGTGTTTGTTTGTAAGTGTGAGCGTGCACTCCTTCCGTTTCCGGCATTCGCAACAAATTTTTGCCTAAGCCAGTCAGTCGAACAGAGGACAGCCACTGCGAGAGCAACAGACAGAGCCGCAACAACAACAGCAAGAACAACAACAACAACAACGGCAACAACAACAACAACAACAACAAACGCGCGCGCAACAATCAAACGCCCACGCACACGTCCGCCTCGTGCCAATCACCCCCTCCTGCGCGTCCGTCTCCTCATCCTCCTCCGCAGCGTCACCCACAGAGCCCACAACGCCAGCAGGACGAAGTCGTAACGACAGCGACATGCGAAACGCGTAACAAAACAAAAAGATAAATAAACACAAATACGCAACTGCCAATCCATGATAAAGTGGATGCAGACCGAGAAGTGCTAGCAGGAGGACTGTGACAAGGAGGAAGCCCACAAAAAAGTAAGTCTTTCAACATGTTGGATTCGAATAGATAAGTTGAATTAGCCAGCCTATCGAAAGGCATTGAATAAGATCAATACAAAAGGAAACGAGAATATATATATGTATATACATATGGTGGTTATTTCTCAATTGCTCATATATCGATGACGATAACGATAAGAATACAAAAGCTCAAGGTCATTGCAGATGACTATAAAACTCTGATTCGAATTACAAGTTGAATGAGTACCTGCATTTGAATTTGAATTCCTATTGGAAGTCTCGAATTCAGATTCGAATTTAAAGTTGATTGAAAATACAAATTCGAATTTCAATACGATTTTGATTTAGAGCTAGCAATAGAGAACATTGGAATATGGCTTGGCCTAACAGTTGACAATTACTATCTTACCTGTACATCAATCGATAACAACTTATCGATAAAGACATAATCCTTAATACTTAATCCACACCCAAAAAAAAAAAAAAAAAACAAATCTCCAAAAACGCAATCAAAACTTTGGTCACCTTCTCGTATTACCTTCATTACACACAAAACGTGTTCAGCTACTTACTTACACACCTATACATATACATATAAATAACAATCGTACATATAGACACGTATTTGTTTTCACATTTCTTGGTCTTCCATTAGAAAGACATTGGAATGTCCACTTGGTGTGCGTCTCTGTGCGAATATATATATATGTGTGTGTGTGTGTGGGTCTTTTGCTTAGGCACCTTCGCTTTGGCAGAGCAAAACCCATAAAAGTGCCACAAAAAAAAAAAAAAAAAAAAAGAAACTATGGAGAGGCAAAAGATATATCGCGCTGGTGAGTGTTACGAGTCAATTGCAAAAGATGGAATGATGAAAATGGAATCGCTAACCGCAGGGCTGACAACGTGTTGGCAACACGGATACAAGTTAATGGGCCACACACACACACACACAGAGGGAGAACTGGGTCACAATGATCGACTTGTTAATGAACGTAAAGTGTTGCCAGTTTTTGCGTACATTTTACATACTAGACTCGATTTTATAGCTGTTCCTCTCCAGTGCTGTAAAGTGTTCTCTACTGCACAGTCCTAGCAATATTATGTTATACTACCCGATCAATCAGTGAGGTCTCACATTTGGAGCACACACCGAAATTCATCAATAAAAGCGCTTTCAAACCTCATTCAGAGTGAGCTATCGATGTGAATTTTTTGTATACATTTCTACGCCTTTCCGCCGCATTCCATAAATTCCCGATTTATGTCATTTAGAAAAGCATTTATTTTTGGAATATTTTGAGCGTTTCACGAAATGCATTGTTGACATGCGAGGGTTGAAAGAGCCGTAGCCACTGTAATGGTGGTGTGTTTTGCACTGACCCCTTGGGTGGGTGGTTGGTTTGCATTAAGCATGGACTAAAGCTAAGCAGCTGAGCATAGCTGACTGCACAATGCCCTGGAGCTATGGTCTATATCTGCCTCAAGTCGTTATTGCTGAAACTCAAATTTGACAGTAGATCAGGCGTAACTCTGACTCAGGTCAGGCGGGCAACTAATACACCCACACTTACTTTCATTGAGCCGTACATACAAAAGAAATGCCGCTCAGACATAAGGCATAATATCTGCATATTCAGCAGGCGAGTCTATTGAGCTAATGAGGCGGCGACCTCGCCCACCGACTGCAGGGACGAGCACAATACCCCATCAACTGGGACAGACCAAAAAGGGGGTGGCTGCGACTAACGGTACTGACGGCCGCGGCACAACCCTCTGCACTGCGAGGCTGACCAAAGAAACGCGCCAGGAAAAAAAACACACACACACAAAAGAAACAACAACAACAACGAAAAAACACAAAAACCAAACCAAATCTCACAACTAAACCACCTAGCACCGCCGACCCCACCCAACGGCAGACGTCAGCTGTGGATCACTCACAGAAATGCTTGAAAAATTGTTGATGTTTTGTTTTTGTTTTTGTTGCGGCTTATAAGGTCACCCTATTTTCCCATGTTTTGCCACGAATACCCTGTGGCGGGGCAAGTGTGCATGGTATATACGAGCGAGGGTATCTTTGGATATTACCTGCTAATCCTCAAATAGTATTAAGAGCTAAGATCATGATCGCATTACGATTATCTGCTATGCAATGGAAATACAAGGGAATATCGTTTCAGGCAGGGCATTCGCCATAAGGAGTATCTGCAAGTCTGGCATGCTCAGATATTGGTCTCGCCTTTGGCATTGATAGATTTATTGTCCAGGGTGTTTGCGTCTTGTTTATAGCTACATTTAAGCTGCAAAATGTGTCCATCTGCTGCATAGTTGCACTCGGTCTCATTTCCATTCCCATTTCCATTCCCATTCCCATTTCCATTCTCATTCCCATTTCCATTCTCAGTTCCAATTTGGTATTCGTTGCCAGCTATTTTATACAATTGCATTTCCGGTTCCCAATGTGGGCGCCGTCTCTCTAGATCTGCATCTGCACAGAAAAAAAAACAAGAGCGAAGAAAAATAAAAAACAAACAACAAAAATTAAAAAAAAAAAAAAAAAAAAT